CTATTTCACCTGCAGCGGACGTCACCGCCGGCAGGTCGTCTGAGAGGAAGAGGTGGGGAGCGTCAGCTTCCCTCTGCATCCTCTCGCGAGGAGCGCATGGCCTCCGAGAGGCGGCGCGCGGGCTCGACCTTGACTCGTCGTATGGGCCTGTGGCCCCACGACGGTTGCGCAAGGGCGAACTGCGGCTAGGGCCGCGCGTGTGGTGTCGGATGGGATGATACCTGGGGGTACTGCGTCTGCGGCTGCGCCGCCACTGGTCTATTGAGTTCCTCAATGGTAGCAACGTGCTCCGCTACAGGAATGGTCGCAGGGCTGGTCATGCCAGCGCTTGTGTTCCATCGGCGGGTAGCGCGAAAGCGCCCTGGAGTATCAGGACCAGTGAGGCTGGCGCCCGACGCAGTTGGGATTGCCCCCGACGGAAAAGGAGATGGAGGATCGACGGTAGGCGTGTGGAACTCTCGGCTGCCTGCTCCTACTCCTTCTCCTGTCCCCCCGCGGGCGGCGTGGCGGTGAAGTTCAGCAGCTAGCCGCGCCTCGGGTCCGTCTGAGCTGGGGGGGGGGGGGTATCGGGGACACCCACACGGTCCACACTAAGGCTCTCCAACTCATCACCGACCCGTCGCGCCGTCGGAGAACTCGGACGCGAGGCCCCGACGGACCCCTTACGGCGCATGCGCCGCTTGGGTTCCATCGAGGCCGCGAGCGAGATCGCGACGCGGGGTTCGATGAACTGTGAGCTTGAAAAGGACGATAACCGGTGTATGGGGTTGGAGTACAAAGGTACAGAACCCCTGATCCGTTGGTAGAGGAAAGGAGGGAAATATGGATACCTTTTCCTCCTGCACGATCAAAGGTCTGATCGATCTATTCCAATACCTGAGCCCAAACGGCCAGGCGCAGGAGAGTGAGGATAAGGAATATATATGAGGGTATTATACGGGTTCTATTCACACTTTCTGGGTGTGGCTGGTTCACCCTGCTGCCGCACCAGATTTCGCCCTCCCCCCCTGAGGGGCAACGCTAGCGGGCGACCAGCTCAGGGGGCGAAACATCGACCTGGACTCGGCCATACCTCGCCGATAGATCGACGATAGGCCCCCGCTGGCAAATCATCACGTCCCTGGGCGGGGTGAGCTATCGGGCCCCCATCGGCGATGCAAGAGCGACTGGGGGCCGGTGCATCCCTCCCGAGCCCATCGCCTCCTTGCTCCGCCAGGGTGTGACAGGATCCACTGCCGATGGGTCGTGTCCCGAGGACTCGGGGAGCGGCGGATATGGACATCTGCGCGCCCACGCGGGCGGGCAGATGTCCATACGGCAGGTTCGTGTCGTGACGACCCTGGCGTTGGTTTCTGACACCGCGCTGGATCGCTCAACCTTCAACGTCTGCGGCTTGCCGACCGCCCGATCGTGCCTTGTAGGTCGACTCTTGGCCACTGGCGGCATGTCAACCTTCAACGCCCGCGGCGGGGTCGCTGCCCGTCGACACGACGCGAACCTGCGGCATCCACTGCGCCTCGGGATCTCAGGGCACGACTCCGAAGCGGTTGACGTGGACAGAGTCTGGCGGCGGACCCCTGACCTTGCCCCGGGCCCCGACGGAGGGGGCGAGCGGGAGCTGGCCGCGGCAGCAGCGGCTTGCAGGCGGCGCTGCCGCGCTGCCCCTGGCATGCAGCGGAGCCGGGCCCCGAAGGGGCCCGGCCGTGGGCCCCCCCCCCCCGGGGAGGCCTCGCCTACGGGCCGGCTCGCGGTGCCCGACCCGTCTCTCGACAGAGGGTCCGTGGCGGGCCCCGGGAGGCCGTGGCCAAGCGGTGGAACTCCTCCGGACCCCACCGCTTGCCATCTGAAGGGGCCCAGGGACACGCAAGTAAATTCACACAGATCCCAGGATTCCCCATCTTTTCAAATATTTTATCGGTTTTCGTCTCCCCCCCCACTTCCCATATTTTCCTGGGGGTCGACGATGCATTGTGTCTGCGTTTTCTCTCCTGGCCATCGCTCGGACGTCGATTCCCCGTGCACTTTTCGATGTCGTGTGCGTGTTCTTCTTGGCTCGGTGATCCAGGAGGCTCCTCGATGGCCCTTGCCGAAGAACAGTGCTCACGTCCGAGCGATGCCCGGGCAAAAACATCAGCCACCGTGTCGCGAGGCACCAAGTCGAGGGTCCTCGGGTCTCTTCGGGCTCCCAGTGATGAGCATGGCAAATGCAGTCGAAGCATTGCCGCGAGAACGCGGGCCAAGCATGTCCAGAATAATAAGGACTTTCGCCGAAGATGTCCATGCCGTAAACAAAAAATACCCCAAGGTGGAGAGCCCCAGGCACAAACGACAGACGCCCGAGCGAGCGATGCCAGGCACTTCGCTCAGGACCCGTCTGCTTCCTTCCAGGGCAGGACCTGAACGGTGCTTTCGCGATTTCGTGGGCCGTTGTCGTTTCGACTTCGTTCTGCGGTAAAGGCGGATTGAAGACAAAACGAAAGAAAACGAAAACAAAACGATAACGAAAAACACCGTTTAGGTTCAGCCGTGCTTCCTTCCGCGGCGGAGGGCTGGCTGCCGCGCTGTCGCGCCGCTCGCCGTCGCTGTGCGGGGGCCTGGCCGACCCCCGCCCAGGGCACAAAGAGGCGGGCCCCGCTCGGCGGCCGGCGCACGAGGCGGCGGCAAGAGAGGTCGGGGTGCGCGGAGCAGGCGGGGGAGGGCGAGGGAGGCGAGGGAGGCGGAGGACGCGAGGGCCTCCTCCCCCATCGCTCCTTTCCAAGCGTGGGGCCTCTTCCTGCATCTGGTGGCGTCTCGAGGGTGAGCTGCGCGTAGGTGTTGCTTCGGTCTCCGGCAGTTTCCTCCTCCTCCTCCTCCTCCGCTACTGCCTTCTCCCTCCCTCTCGCTGTCAGTCTTTTGCTTCGCTTCAGAGGCGACTTTCCGCCGCTGCCCCTGCTGGTCTGTGCCGAGCGGGCCTGGTGCCCCATGGTGAGCTCGGGTTCAGGGCTGGGTACCCATCCTCGCACTGAAAGGCTGGCGTGCGGGATAAGAATTACGTTGCCCCTAGCTCCCGCGGTGTCAGCTATTCCCCCATCACGGCACGAGGACTGCCTCAATGCCCGATCCGACCGACTCCTCCCCCTCCCCCATCATCCCTCCTCTCACTCGCTCTCTCTCTCTCTCTCTCTCTCTTCCTCTCTCTCTCTCTCACACGCCCTCCGCCGCCAGAGTCCCCCCCCGCCCTGCCCCGCGCCTCGCCTGCCTCCGCCGGCAGAGGGCCTTCAAAACGCGACTACTCCCAGGGCCCAGCCCGAGGAAAAAACCTCGTCGAACTCCCCGGCGTCGGCGGGTCGTCGTTGGCGGCGGTGCCGACACCGCCTCCGCCGTCGTCATCGGCGACGCCGCCGTCGACGTCCCTGTCTCGGAGCAGGGCGAGTCGAGACAGCGGCAGCTCAAAATCGGTCCCCGGGCCCCTCCAGGGGCATCGACATCTCATCCATGCCCCTGCTCGCACCCCACTTTACGAGGAGCCGGAGCGGGGACCTGGACAAATTCCTGGTCTCCGAAGCCACTTCCTTGATCCATGCCCTGGTTCCCCGTGGCGCCCAGGATGGGGGCAGCAGCAGCAGGGGTACGGCTCGGGCGTCGATCGTCGACCAAGCGCACCACCAATTTCTCGAGTTGCGTCCAGCCGTGGCGACGAGGGGCCCCCCTGACGGCCAACGCCGTTGCTTCAACTCGTCATCCGCTGGATTGGAGGAGATACCCAAATTATCCCGGCAAAGCAACCTAACAGCGATGTGTAGAAGCATATCTGAAAGCATTCCCCTTAATATTCAGATGATTATCCCGGCAAGGCAACCTAACAGCGATGTGTAGAAGCATATCTGAAAGCATTCCCCTTAAGATTCAGATGAAAATCCAGTTGTATAATTCTGCTGTTCTCGCAGTCGTAGTCGCATTCGCGATGACAGTCGCAGCGGCAACGGCAGTCGCAGTCACAGCCTCAGCCTCAGCCTGCCTCAGCCTCAGCCTCAGCCTGCCTCAGCCTCAGCCTCAGCCTGCCTTCAGCCTCAGCCTCAGTCTGCCTTCAGCCTCGGCCTCAGCCTCAGCCTGCCTCAGCCTCAGCCTGCATCAGCCTCAGCCTCAGCCTCAGCCTGCCTCAGCATCAGCCTGCTTCAGCCTCAGCCTCAGCCTGCCTCAGCCTCAGCCTCAGTCTGCTTCAGCCTCAGCCTCAGTCTGCCTTCAGCCTCGGCCTCAGCCTCAGCCTGCCTCAGCCTCAGCCTGCCTCGGCCGCAGCATCAGCCTGCCTCAGCATTCAAAATGTGGCCCAGGAATGGAGTTTTGGGAACTAGAAGAACACGAAGTGGCCTACAGTTGGCTCCGGGCATTCAAAATCATGCCCAGGAATGGGAGTTCTGGGAAGTCGAAGAGCACGAAGTGGCCTACAGTTGGCTCCGGGCATTCAAAATGTGCCCGGGAATGGAGTTCTGGGAACTCGAAGAGCACGAAGTGGCCTACAGTTGGCTCCGGGCATTCAAAATGTGGCCCGGGAATGGAGTTCTGGGAACTCGAAGAGCACGAAGTGGCCTACAGTTGGCTCCGGGCATTCAAAATGTGGCCCGGGAATGGAGTTCTGGGAAGTCGAAGAGCACGAAGTGGCCTACAGTTGGCTCCGGGCATTCAGAATGTGGCCCGGGAATGGAGTTCTGGGAGGTCGAAGAGCACGAAATGTGTGACTGTTGGCTTAAAACGACTTCTGCGGCACCCTGTCCGGCACCCGCCCAGACCCCCCTGTGGAGTCATCTGCTGCTCTCTTTTGAGACTACTAGAAACCTATCAGTCTTCGCTGTTAGGTAAAAATGCAGGAGCATAAACGGTCGGAACCCCACGCGGATTTCGTGGATCGGCGCTGAGCTCCGACGGTCATGCCTATGACGTTCTCTGTGGTTCGACGAGAGTCGTGGTCGTCGGCGTCGTCGGCATCGTCGACGACGTTCGTCGACGACGCCGGCGGCGGGGTCCTCGAGGCGCCCCAGCAGAGCGCCCAGCCCCCGCTGGTCGCCCCTCCCGCACAGGTGGCCGAGTGCGTCCACGGCGGCGGCCCTGCGGAAGGCCGCCGACGTCGTCGCGGCGGCGCCCGCGCAGGCATCGCCGCGAGGAAGGGCACCGACGACGCTACCCTGGACAAGCCGAAGTTTGCGGGAGAGCGCGGGGAGCGCTGCTCGTGGGGTAGGCTCGCGCCCGCGGGGCGGGCGAGTGACGCACTCGTCGCCCGCCGCGCCCCGCGGGAGCTCGCGGGTGCGGCGACACCTCGATCCCACTCCCCAAACCCAGGGGCGGAGAAGGGCGAGGGCCAGGAAAGCTTCACAGGGAAAAGTAAGCACACACGTGAACTTTTGAGCGCCGAACGGAACATCAGAAGAGAATTGACCTTGAGAGTTCCGCGCGGACTTTTGGGATCGGCGCTGGGCCCCCATGCGGCGCCCATTGCGGTGCCCGTGGCGCGCTCCGCGCGCCAGGGAGAAGGGGGCACCAGCGCCGAGCCAAAAAATCCGCGCGGAGCTCAGAAACAAACGTGTTTATGCAAATTGTTGCCCCCGATTTGGGGAAGAAACCTGCCTGTTTCTGAAAAGCCCCCCTCCCGTCGCACCATCCCCACATTGTGCGCCGCCAATATTCGTCGCTGTGCCGGTTGAGGGCAGGGTGGGGAAGGGTCTGCCTTCATTGAGGCAACCGCCGCCGTCCCATTTCATGAACGGCGTCGCACGTATTTGGGAATTTTGCGGCTGACCGGTCAAGCAGGAACGCACAGCGTTTTTTGCATCAGAAACCGACGTCGCCCCTTTTCGGACCCCAAAACGCTGAAATGACGGTCCAAAGAGGCCCTGGACGGCCCAAGTGTTCCCCGAAACGCCCAGGAATGCCACAAGATGGACCCAGAGGTCCCCAAGACGCTCCAAGAGGGCTCCAAGAGGCAGCCCCAAGAGGCAACCATCATTGACTGACCTCAATATTGGCAAGATTTCAGCGTTCTCGCCTTTTCGGGCTCCTGACGCTCCAGGACAGCCCCATGATCGCCTCGAGACGGCCCCAAAGGGCCCCACGAGGCTCGCAACACGGCCCAAGACAACCCCAAGACGGCCCACAATATTGGAAACGGAAAATCACACTATTACTTTTGAAGGAGCAATTTGCTAAAAGGAAACAAGCCTTTTGGTAAAGTACTGTTGCTCAGCTGCGCGACAACCGCGGCGGCGCGTCCGAATTGCTGAGCCACGTCCTGCGCTCGCGCCCTGAATCTCCTGTCAAGGAGCATATACACCTTTGTTCAAAATAGTGTGACACTTCCGCCTCTGACAGGAAACCTCCAAGACGGCCTCAGGAGGGCACGAGAAGGCAGCGGGAAAGGAAACTCGAGGTGGCATCTCGATCCATCCGCTTTTAAAGCGTGACTCCTCGGGGCGGCGGGGCGCCTCCGCGCGGGGCTCCGGCGCAACGGGGACGCGTCGACGTGCTGCTCTGGGCTACTCGTTGCGCTGTTGGCATCAAGCAACTTGCCATCGCTCGGACGCCCACTCCCCAGGGCAAAACATCAGCCACCCTGTCGCGAGGCACCGAGTCGAGGGTCCTCGGGTCTCTTCGGGCCCCCAGTGATGAGCATAGCAAGTGCAATCGAAGCATTACCACGAGAACGTGGGCCGAGCAGTTCAATGATAACACAGACTTTCGCCGAATCTGCCCACGCCGTGAACAAAAACACTCCAAGGTGGAAAGCCCGAGGCGCAAACGACAGAAAGGCACCACTCTATGGACTTATTATCAACACCCCCGAAGCCTTCGATGACAATAAAAACGAGATAAGAAGAACATCCGGGATTTTTTCCACGCCGCTGCTGCGCTGACTCAAGGGCCCCGAAAAGAAGGTTCGGGCCAAAGTGCGACGGCGCGCTCGCTTTGCTACAGTCATGCTCTGCACAATAACACACGATGTACAGTGTATGTCTCACACCCGTGACATAGTAAAAAACAACAACAGGGAGAAGCCCCCCTTCAATGCGAAAAAATGGAATCTAACACTCCATTGAGAATCCTCTTCTGCACAAGCTGCAGAAACTGCATGAACAAACTGTATGCATCTGAAATGCAAAACCTCCGTGCGAAAGCTGCATAACATGCGCAACTGCATAACAATGGACTGCAAAACCGGCAATAAAACTGAGCGAGAAGAAAACATCTGAAGCTGCGCTGGTGCGTTGGCTCACTCGCTGCAGCCTTTGGGACTGTCGCCTGCTGCCTGCTTGCAATCGCCCTGCCAGTGGTTGGGTTCGGTCGTCTCCACGGAAGCTTCGCCTGCACGCTTGCACCCGGTCATCTTGTGACAAAACTGCCACTGATCCCATTGCAAACGGCGGGTAATCATGCTCTGCGCGCCGACGTTCCGCCGTCGCGCCTGCTTGTGTTTGCTGCGCGACTTCCTGAGGTGGATGGTCGTCTCCTTGTCGATGCTGGTCGTCGCTGTCTCCTCGGTCGTCTCGCGATTGATGCTGGTCTCGGCCTGGCACTTCACACTGGAGTCGTCTCGATGCTCCACAAACGCTTGCAGCGAATAATGGGCCGCTGGAACTGCCGCTGCCGTTCCAATCATCGGAAACATTAATGCGTCCAAAATGCCTCCAGGAAGCCACAAACACATCGCAATCTCGTCGTCGTATTACTTGTACTCTGTTATGTAGTCGAACTCTGGAGTGCAGGTTGCCGCTGACTTGCAACAACACGTCGCAGAAAAAAAACTGCCAGTTGCATGAGTGGTGATCTCGCCTTAGTAGGTTATGATGTCTCCATCTTACGATTCCCGATGATCTCCTGTCGTTCCTTCTTATAGTCTTCTTCTTGGCTGCCGCATAAGTGCGGTCGTGCTGTAGCTGAAGTCGTCCTGCTCGAAGTCTGTCTGCGAAGAGCTGCCTTGCCGCTGACTTCGTGGGGCCACCTGCATACTGCCGTTCTGATGAGGCCCACTTCCACTGTGTCTGTGTAGAACCATCCGTTCTCGTAGCGCCAATGCCTCGATGCTGGCGTGCTTGTCCTGGAAACTGGCGAGGCTCTCCTTCTTGGCTGCGTCGTAGAGCGCCTGCCGATCGCGACTGCTGGCTCCCCTGCGTAGCGCGTGCTCTCGCCAACGTTGACGTTCACGAAGTCGTAGACGAGGGCTGCCCAGAGTCGCATCGCAAATTCTAGTGCGCCCATGCCTGCTGCCGCTGCTTGTGATTCTGCATGTGGCGATGACCTGGCTAGCCTCGTTAACTTGAAAACTTCCAATCCACGGCGCAGAAATCTGAATCCTCGTCGTCAAGTACTCTCGAGTGGCATGCCATGATCACGCATCCTCCTTGACTAGGTCCGTCTTGCCGTACTCTCCAAGCTGCGTCCGTCATCGCAACGTGGCTGACCTTGCCAATCTTCTTCACCTTGAGGCCGGCGTCCGCGTTCTGCTTGTAGAACCTTACCGTCTTATTTACCTCTCTTGCTGTCGCCACTGTCGCCGTTGGAAGCTGCCCTTGGTGAGTGCTGACCAGCGCTGACGCGCGTGGGCATGCTTGCTAACTTGGCCACTGTAGAGCTCCAGTAGTCCTCGAAACTGTCGCATGTCCTTCGGCGTGGGTGCTCGGTCGTTCTTGCCGACCTTCTGATCGATCGCGATCGGTTTGAGGTTGGAATTCGTCTCCTGGTCCATTGTCGTCGCTGATGTCCATGTCCGAGTCGCCTGGCGCGTCGAAAGGTTGCTGCTGGTGAGCTGACATCGTGGAACCACTGCCTCTCGAACAACCTGATGCCGACGTTCCACCGCTCCTGCGCAAGAATGCGCCTCGCCGGCTGCAATAACGGTAGAAATTCTATGCTGTTCTAGAATCTGTGTAAAGCGATCAGAAGCAAAACTTGAAGCATCGTCTGTCCGCAAGTCTCCCTTGGGTCCACATTGCCTGATCCAGCCGCGCTCAACTGCCTTAATCAGCTCCGCTGCTGTCTCGGTCTTGATGGTACGTAGTGCACAGCAGCGCGTGGCCCCGCCCATCATAGAAAGACCTGCCGCATTACCGGTGGTATTCTTGATCCAGAAGACGTCCGTGTAGACAATCTCGTTGAGCTTGGTGGCCTGCTTCGCTGACGCATGAGTGCTCTCGGTGGACGTTGTCTGGCCATAATGCGTTCACGCCGGTACTCCGATGCACGCTGTAGGATGTTGCCCCGGGCGCCTGCCTGTTGATGTAGACGATGTAGTGCGGCCGGGGTGGGGTGCCCCATGTTCTGGTGAAGTCTCTCGTCGTAGCGTAGTGCCTCCGCGCCTTACTGCTCTCGTAGGCGTGCGTGTTGGTGAGCTTCGCGACTGGAATCTGGGTGATCGGGTTTGGTGCCCTCCTCCGTTTGCGTTGAGTCCTCCGCTGCGTAGATGTCCTCGATCTCGGGATCGACCATGACTTGCGCCATCGCCGCGGCTAGGGTGAACGGATAGTCCTCGGCAAATTTGGCGAGCCTCCGTCCCTCCAGTAGGTCGTGTTCATGTGATCTGTCGCGTCGTTCGCTGGGTAGTGCTGCCATGAGCTTCTGGGTCGTCTTCCGCGTCGTCGGGTTCTTGACCGTGTTCGTGTTGCCCTCGATCGCATGGCCGTGCATGCGCGGGTCGAACGTGCTGCGTTCGCCGTGTAGGCGGCTGACCGCCGCGGTGCGCCGCGCCCTCGACGCGGCTGGATGTTCGACGTGAGCACGTCGCCCTCCTTGTTGCTGTATGCGATGCACCTTGGCCACAAACTGTAGATGTACTCGATGAGGCCCTTCTCGTAGCTCGGCGAGGATCTCCGTCCAACCAGGGTGCTGGTGGATGCCGGGCTCCTGCATGTTAGACCATGCTCTGCACATTGATGACGGATGAACCTCGTCAGGCTGCTCCGCCGTCAGCTTCTTGAGAAATGCCTTCCAATGATCCTCCTTTGCGAAGTCCCAACCGGCATTGAGCCCGAACTTTCCCACGCGTGCCCCTGATCTCGCAATGCTTGTGAAAATCTTGCTTCTCCAGTGTAGAATTCCCATGTCGTCCGTCTCGTGGCGCG